ATGAATTCCCAGTTGTTGATTCACTGAAGTATTTCCTGTGCAGTTTGGTTTTTGTTCATGAACTCTCTACCTACCTCTATGTCTTTAAGATTTCTACCACATTTTCCTCCAAAATATTTACTATTTCTGTTTTAATGTTTAAATCTTTGATCCATTTTGACTGTAGTATAGTGCATGATGACATACATGAGTCTAATTTTAGTCTTTGTTCTGTGGAAAGCCAGTTTTTCTAGCACCATGTAATAAAGAGGCTTCTTTCCTCCAGTAAACATGCTTGGCCCCTTTATCAAAGATAAGGCAACTGAGTGTGTTTGTTGTTGTGTCTTCACCTTTTTATCTGTTCCATTGATCCTCAGATCTGTCTTTATTCAAATACAATGCTGATTTTATAACAGCAGCTTTATAGTATAATTTCAGGTTGTTATACCCCTTGTCTTTCCTTTGTTCCCAGGATTTCTTTGCATATTCCAGGTCTCTTCTGGGTCCAGATGAATTTGAGGAATGTTTTTCCCAGCTCTGTGAGGTATACTTGTGGTATTTTAGTCAGGATTGCATTGAGTTTGTATAACAATTTTATGGCAATTTTCACAATGTTGGTTCTTCCTATCCAGGGGCCAGGAATATCTTTCAATTTTCTCAAATCCTCTACAATTTCTTTTTACAGAGTACCATATTTTCACTACATAATTCTTTTAATTCCTGTATGAGATTGATTCATAATTATTTCATTTTCATGGATGTTATTGTGAAAAGTGTGGTTTCCCTAATTCGTCTGTCAGTGCATTCATTGTTTGTGTACAAAAATGATATTGATTTTTCAGTGTTGACTTTGTATAATTCTATGTTATCAAATTTGGTTATTAAATCTACAAGACTCTTGGTGTAGTTTTTGATGGTGCTCTATGTAGAGTATCATGTCATCTGAAAATAAGTATAATTTCACTTCTTCTTTTCCAACTTTTTTCCCTTTTATTTCTCTCTCTTGTCTAATTGCTCTGTCTGGCTAATGTTTTCAGAAATATATTGAATCAGAGTGGAAAGAGTAGGTATCCTTGTCTTGTTCCTGATTTTTAAGGTGAAGGATTTCAATTTTTTTCCATTTAGTAAGATGTTGGCTGTTGGTTTCTCATAGATGGCTTTTAACAGGTAGAGATTAAAGACCATCTACTTCAATTTTCTGTAGGGTATTTAAAATGAATGAGTGTTGAACTTTGTCAAAAGCTTTTTCTGCATCTATTGAGATGATCATGTGGTTTTTGTTCTTGGATCTATTAATGTGGTGTATTACATTATGGATTTGCATATGTCGAACCATCCCTACGTTTCTGGGATGAATACACTTGATCATGATGTATAATCTTGTTGATGACTTACTGCATTCTGTTTGCTAGTATTTTGAGGATTTTTGCATCTATATTTATTAAAGAGATTGGGCTTTAATTTTCTTTACTCACTGGATCTTTCGCTGGTTTTGGAATCAGGATAACACTTGATTGCAAGAATAAATTTGGGATAATTGCTTCCTTTTCATTTTCATTGATAAGCTTGAGAGAAGTTGGCATTAAATCTTCTCTAAATTTTTTGTAGAATTCAGCTGTGAATCATCGGGATCTTTTTTTTATGTATTTAGTACAAGGTCTACAGGGTCTACAAGGCTTCACTACATAGATCAGACTTGGAGTGATTCTCCTGTTTTCAGCCTTGGAAGTGGTGGAATTACAGGCCTGCGCCACCATGCCTGGTCTCAATCACCATTTTCCCTGGGGCGGGGCTGGAATGTCATGCCAGGGATCAGACTCTGGCCCTGCATTCTGCCTAAGCAGGTGCTTTAGTCCCCTGAGCTATCTGGCTGGTCCTTGAGCTTTTTTTTTTTTTTTTTTTTGGTAGGATTTTTATTTTATTTTCTACTGTGATTCCACTTATTGGGTTATTCAGAGTTTGTATACTTCTTGATTCAACTTTGGCATTTCATATATATTTAGGAAACTGTCCATTTCCTCTGTGTTTTCCACCCTGTGATACCGATGATTTTGGAAGTAGGTATTCATGATCTGAATTTCTATAGAGTCTCTAGTGATTTCAAACTTTTAATTTCTTACTGCTTGAATTTGAATTTTTTCTTTCTCTTTTTGATAAGGTTAGCTAGGGGTTTATCTATTTTATTTATTCTTTCAAAGAATGAACTTTGATTCACTTATTCATTGTATTGTTTGCTTTATCTCCATTGAATTACTTTCTGCTCTAATCTCTATAATTTTCTGCCTTCTTTGGGCTTGACTTGCTCTTCCTTTTCTAGCAGCTTGAGGTGCTGCATAAGATCAATTGGGCCTTTTCTGTTTTCCTAATTTGAGAATTTACTGCTATAAGTTTCCCTCTTAAGAGCTTTCATGGTATCCCAGAGGTTCTGGTAAGTTGTATCTGCATTTTTGTTTTGATTGTAAGAATGTTTTAATTTCTTCTGTGACCCAAGGTTTGTTTAGGAGGTTATTATTTGATTTGCATGTGTTAATGGGGTTTTTGTGGTTTATCAATAATTTCCAGTTTATTGCACTTTTATCCAATAATATGCATGGAATAATTTCAATTCTTTTGCATTTACTTAAGCATCCTCCATGTGCTGGTCTGTGATCTATTTTTGAGAATGTCCTATGTGCAGCTGAGAAGAGTGTGTATTCTGTTGCTGTTTGCTGCAACACTCAGAAAAGTTCCACTATGTCCACAGCTTCTCAAGTTTGGTTTAGTTCTATCTACTTGTGACAGTGGTGTGTTAAATTCCCCCATTAAAATTATATTTTTGATCATCTGAATTATCATGTCTGCTAAAACTTGGCTTATGTAGGTGGGTGATCCTACACTGGGTGCATATATATTTATAATTACTCTCTCTCTCTCTCTCTCTCTCTCTCTCTCTCTCTCTCTCTCTCTCTCTCTTTCTCTTGCATTTTTTCCCTTAACAAGCATATAGTGACTTTGTTTTATCCTTTTGAATGATTTTTGGTTTGAAGTTGATATTTTCAGAAACTAGAATAGTTTCTGAAAAAAAAACCCTGCTCTTTTCTGGTTTCCTGTGGCATGAAGAATTGTTTTCCATCCTTTGACTTTCAGTCTATGAATTTCATTTTGAGTTAAATGTGTTTCTTATATGCAGCATATTGTTGGGATTTTGATTTTAAATCCATTCTGCTTGTCTTTTTCTTTTGATTGGTATATTGAGGCAATTTACATTGATGATTATAACTCATATATATTGGCTTATCTATGTCATGTTATTTTACCACTATAGATTCCGTATTTTTTCCATCTGTTTGGATGTTTCTTTCTGTTGCTCTTGAAGCTGTGGTTGTTTTTGTCTCTTTCTGGAGTGTCTGTCAGTACTCTTTGCAGGGTTTCTTTGGTGGTCATGAATTTCTTCAGTTGTTTTTTGCCATAGAAGGATCTTCTCTTGCCATTGGATTTGGTAGATAGTTTTTGAGGGTACATAAATATGGGTTGGAAGTTATTTTCTTTTAGGACCTGAAGTACTTCACTTCAAGCTCTTCTTGATTTGATGGTTTGTGTTGAAAAATCTGGCACAATTCCGATGGGCTTCCATTATAGGTAACATGTTTCTTCTCTCAAACAGCTTTTAAAAATCTATTGGTTTGCTTAATTTCTGAAATTTTATTATTATGTGTCTAGGTATAGATTTATTTTGATTATGGCTATTTCAAGTTCTATATGCCTTGCTTAATTTTATGCCAAATTCTTTTCTCATGTTTGGAAAATTTTCTGCTAGTACTTCTGTAAATAATCTTTTTATTTCATTTGTGTTGTTTCATTGATAACTGTTATTCTTATATTATTTTTTCTTTGTATCATCTTGTAACTGCTGAATTGTTATTGCCTTGTTAGTTTTAGGAGATCTTTCCTTTTACATTCATAAACTGTCTTTGAGGTCTGAAAGTCTATCTTGAGTTTCATTGAAGTGGTTTTGCCAGCTTTCAGTGGACTTCTTAATTTCCTAGAGATCTCTTTGAATCTGTTTCCTGCATTGTTATTCTTACATGTATTGTTCATTCAGTGTTTCCTTCATTTTCCTACTCTCTTCTATTTTTTAATCTATGTCACCTTTAGCTGTACTGAGCAATAATTTCATGATTACTGTCATTTATTTTTTGAGCTGAGAGATTATTTCTCATCTTATTTCTTCTATATCCTGACAGACTTTTTTCTGTACTTGCTATCATATCAGAAGTTTCAGGTTTGTGATTTCCAAGTTCTTGTATGTCCTTGTCCCCTGGATTTA